ATATACTCTGCCTGCTGGGAAGGAGTTGTGAATGGCTCTTGAATCTCCCTGGCACAAACAGCCTGAAGACCAGAGCCAGTCTTTTTCAGCACAAGAGGATTCAAATGCTCATACGAAGATCGGCCCACAATGCGACTGGCAATCGCAGAGAACACGTGGGTATATGGGCATTCGCTCAGAGGGGTGCCTGAGTCAGCAGAGGAGCAGATGGGGTCTCAGATCACTCTCTTTTAGTGGCTCCGTTACAACTGACACTCAAAAAGCTCCCGAGGAGAGACAAAAAGCGAGTTGTAGCAATAGAGGAGTTCAGGGTCCAAGAAAGACGGGGGAGATTCCAGACTGCTTCCAGCAACTGTGCCAGTGTTTTACAGGAACAGGCTGATCAAAAGTCTGTGAGACAGATGTTTGAATGGGAAAAAGACAGTAGACAAGACAGCAGAGGAAGTAGTGGGCCACTGAAGAGGCCAGAAGAAGGCGGAACGTGCGCATTGATTGACAAGGGGGCAAAGACGAACGGTGCAAGAGACAGACCTCAGAGTGCACACGAGAGAAAAGGGATAAAGCCGGGAGGCATGCAAGATAGGAATGCCTGGGTGCAGGTGAAGGCTGTGGCGGCAGAAGCAGCGGCACAGAGGAGAGATATCAAGCAGCTCTATGAAATAGTGGAAGACCTCTCGGGAAAAACCAGACCACCACAGGCGGTGCCCATCAGCGACTCTCCTCGACAGATATTTGAAATGCACAAGTCAGACGATGAAAAGTGCATTCCCATTCCATATTCAACCGCCCAGAGCCAGAGATCGTGCCCAGGTTTCAGAGAAAGGCCAATGCTAAGTTAGAAACAGACGAGGCACCAGTAACACCCAAAGAAATGAAAGGGCTCAAACAGGAGAACGCTCCAGGGGTGGAGAGAATTCAAGAAGCTGGAGTTAAAATTCTAATTGAACAGCTAACCAAACGAACCAAATAAAGGTGAAGGACCGAATGCCACGTGGCGTCATTGTGACAGTGCCCAAAAGGGGGATCTTAGTGCGCAAACTGGAGCGGCGTTATGCTGTTGTTAATCCTGGGGAAAGTACTGGCTACCGTTTTGCTGAACTGAATTAAGGAGGCCGGGAAAGAAACATTATGAGCAGAACAGGCTGGCATCCAGCCAGCCAGATCATTTTGGAACAGCTGTTCATGCCTCAACTGTTCATCGAAAAAGCGACGGCAGCTTAGTCAACTTTAAGGAAGCGTTTGACGGTGTCCACAGAGAGACCTTGAGGAATACAGGCAATCTGGTCTATGTAAGGAGGAGTTTATATGATGGATGTACGGCAGAACCTCCGGGTTACCAACACCTCGGGAAGGGAGGTTGTCTGTAACTCTGAAATGTTTGTAACTCTGAACAAAACATTATAATTGTTCTTTCAAAAGTTTACAACTGAACATTGACCTAATACAGCTTTGAAACTGTATGGTGCAGAAAAAAAAGTGCTGCTTTCCTTTTCTTTTTTTAGTAGTTTATGTTTAATACAGCACTGTATTGTGTTTGCTTTTCTTCTTTGGTCTCTGCTGCTGCCCGATTGTGTACTTCTGGTTCCAAACGAGGTGTGTGGTGACTGGTCAGTTCGTAACTCTGAGGTTCTACAGCAGATGAGCATTAGGATTGGATGCAGGCTTTGGTGAATGACACCATATTGTGAGTGGGGTCAGATGAGGGTATATATAATCACCAATCCTCTTTCCATTCACAATAGAGTGGCTGATGAAGCAGGCAACAAAAGGCATTATGGACTGTGTCCAATGGGTTGGCACAGACCGGTTACACAACTTTGACTTTGCTGAGGACTTTGCTTTACTAAGTTTGACATGGAACAAAATGATCACCCTTAACCCAGGGCAATCAAAAATTAGATTGAACGTAAATGCCGGGAAAACCAAGGATGGAATCCAGACAACAGGTGCAAAGATACAGGTGGATGGCACAGAAATCTAACCGGTCGAAGAGCTTTGATCTTGGGGGAGTGTGGTGATATCTGAAGGTGGCTGCGCTGAAGATATTCGTGCCAGCTGAGGAAAAGCAAACACCGCTTTTGGAAGGATTAGCAACATCTGGTCAAACAGAGTATCAGAGTCATAGAACCAGAGGGTTAAAATGGACCGCAAAGGTCATCTAGGCTAACCCCCTGCCAAGACGCAGGATGTGTTGTGTCTAAGCCAGCCGAGACAGATGTTCTCCAGTCCCCTTCTGAAAACCTCCAGTAAAGGAGCTTCCGGGACCTCCCCAGGCGTCTGTTCCATCGTCCTGCTGTTCTCACACTTAGGAAGTCTTTCCTGAGATTTAATCTAAATCTCCTGTGCTGTAGTTTGACCCCATCACCTCTTGTCCTGCCCTCTGTTACAGACTAGGGACCGAATGGCTAGGAAGCAGTTCTGCAGAAAAGGACCTAGGGGTTACAGTGAATGAGAAGCTGGATATGAAGCAATAGTGTGCCCTTGTTGCCAAGAAGGCTAACGGCATTTTGGGCTGTATAAGTAGGGGCATTGCCAGCAGATCGAGGGACGTGATCATTCCCCTCTATTCGACATTGGTGAGGCCTCATCTGGAGTACTGTGTCCAGTTTTGGGCCCCACACTACAAGAAGGATGTGGAAAAATGGAGGGCAATGAAAATGATTCGGGGGCTGGAGCACATGACTTATGAGGAGAGGCTGAGGGAACTGGGATTGTTTAGTCTGCAGAAGAGAAGAGTGAGGGGGGATTTGATAGCTGCTTTCAACTACCTGAAAGGGGGTTCCAAAGAGGATGGATTTAGACTGTTCTCAGTGGTAGCAGATGACAGAACAAAAATTAATGGTCTCAAGTTGCAGTGGGGGAGGTTTAGGTTGGATAGTAGGAAAAACTTTTTCACCAGGAGGGTGGTGAAACACTGGAATGGGTTCCCTAGGGAAGTGGTGGAATCTCCTTCCTTAGAGGTGTTTAAGGTCAGGCTTGACAAAGCCCTGGCTGGGATGATTTAGTTGGGGATTGGTCCTGCTTTGAGCAGGGGGTTGGACTAGATACCTCCTGAGGTCCCTTCCAACCCTGATATTCTCTTATTTTATGAATGGACATATGGGGTCAGACCCATGGTCTGTCTAGCCCAGTATCCTGTCTGCCGACAGTGGCCAGAGCCAGGTGCTTCAGAGGGAATGAACAGAACAGGGAATTCCTAGTGATCCATCCCCTGCTGTCCAATCCCAGCTTCGGGAAATTGGAGGTTTAGGGACACCCAGAGCAGTGGGCTGTGTCCCTGACCATCTTGGCTAATAGCCACTGATAAACGTATGCTCTATGAGTTTATCTAATTCTTCTTTGAATCCAGTTATACTTTTGGCCTTCACAACAGCCCCTGGCAGGGAGTTCCACAGGTTGACTCTGAGTTGTGTGAAGAAATATTTCTTTTGGTTTGTTTTAAACCTGCTGCCTATTCATTTCGTTGGGTGACTCCTAGTTCTTGTGTTATGAGAAGGAGTAAATAACACTTCCTTATTTACTTTCTCCACACCGGTCATGATTTTATAGACCTCTATCATATCCCCCCTTAGTCATCTCTTTTCCAAGCTGAAAAGTCCCAGTCCTATTAATCTTGCCTCATAGAGAAGCCATTCCATACTCCTAATCATTTTAGTTGCTCTTCTCTGATCCTTTTCTAATGCCAGTATATCTTTTTTGAGATGAGGTGACCACATCTACGCTCAGTAATCAAGGTGTGGGCCTATCATGGATTTATATAGAGGCAACATGATATTTTCTGTCTCATTAGCTATCCCTTTCTTAATGATTCCCAGCATTCTGTTTGCTTTTTACTGCTGCTGCACGTTGAGTGGATGTTTTCAGAGAACTATCCACAATGACTCCAAGTTCTCCCTCATGCTAACGGGGTTAATGGAGGCCAGATGGACCAATTAACCTATTAGGCTGAAGGCTGAAAGGAAAATCCTACTTAGGGGACGCTCGCCTGTGTGGGAACAGGCAGGGAGCTGATCATAGGAAGGGGGCTTCAGGGAGGTAGTTTGCAGTCACTGCCTGGGAGACGGGAGCTGTGTTTGGGGGCTAGAGAGACGAACGGCCCATGGTTGCTCCCTGGGAGAGCAGCGTACAGAGACCAGCAAAGGCCAGACAAGGGGGAATGCTGGGATAGGAAGCAGCCCAGGGATTAAAGAGCAACGTTGTGGCCTGAACAGAACTTGGATGTTTGTTGCAGGGTCCCTGGGCTGGAACCCAGAGCGGCCAGGAGAAGTCGCAAGCTGAGTGGCGCATCCAGTGATTGGTGGTAACAGTTAATTGAGACCTCGTTATTTTGTGTGCATAGTTGGGATGATGTTTTCCAACGTGCATCACTTTGCATGTATCCGCATTGAATTTCATTGGCCAGTTTGTTGTCCGGTCACCCAGTTTTGTGAGATCCCTTTGTAGCTCTTCGCAGTCTGCTTTGAGTCATTCTGGATCCTACGCAAACTTGGCCACCTCTCTGTTTACCCCCTTTTCCAGATTATTTACGAATATGGTCCCAGTGCAGCTCCTTGGGGGACCCCGCTAGTCACCTCTCTCCATGCTGAACCTGACCGTTTTATTCCTATCTGGCAGGTAGAAATCACCCAGGAAGGGGCTCTGGGGAAGAGTGCCTGTCACGGCGACTTCACGGAGAGCGTAGGGGCTGACCCCTCAGGAATGAGAGGAGGGCTGTGGGAAGGAAACAGGATCACACATGAGTTGTGGGGACGATGTGACAAGGTCTCCTTTAATCTAAGGAACCAGGGAAAGAACTTCCAGCAGAGACTGATACGGGTGCTGGAGAGACCCCACAGCTTCTAGTAACCGAGGGGACGGGAATCCTTACCCAGTGAGGTCACAGTCTCATAGTTCTCCTGCATAATGGCTCTGTAGAGGGCTCTCTGAGCGGGGTCCAGCAGAGCCCCCTCTTCCCTGGTGAAATACACAGCCACCTCCTCGAAGGTCACCGGCCCCTGAAAGAGCAAGAGTCCCACACTCAGCACCTGCTGCCCCACTCACAGCCCCACTATTCACGGGAAAGGAGCCAATCAAATGAAAGCGCTGGGAGGCTCCCAGTCAGAGTCCCACCCCCACACTGGGAAGTTGACCCAGCCCAATCCGGGGCGGGTTGTTTCCAGTTTCAAAAATTGGGGAATTTTCACCTCAACGTCATGGGTCTGTTCATAGAATCTAGTTCCAGGCTGAACAAGTCCCAGTAGGTTAGTCACACCCTGTCCCCTTCCCTTTCTCCGCCCTGGGTATTTCCTGCCCCTTCCCGCCTGAAGACCAAATCCCTCAACAGCGCCCACCTCTTGTGCATCTACTGCCCCTCTCCCTCCAGTCGGAGCCACTGGGAAGTCGCTACCTGAATCATCTCCTCTGCAGCCTTTTCCCTTCCCGGTCCCCGTGAACGATGGGACAATCTGGAGTGACAGCCTGTCCAGGTGAGCGGGGCAATTGAGGCGATAGTTAATTTCACCCCTGATTCCCCCAAGCCCTTTCCCCGCAGACGGACATCGTCAACTCTGCCACGCTGGGAAAACGCTCCGTCTCTTTGTAACCCAGCAGGCCCAGCCCCCTCCCAAAAGCGCCGAACCCACAGAGACTTTTTAAACCCTCCCAGGAACGGCGTCTGCATCAAACACTAGAGAAAGAGCAGCCGCAAAGGAGCCCCCGACGCTGTCCCGCCAGCAGGGCCAGAACTAGACAGAGCCAGGAAGCGTTTTTTCCTCTCTCTGCTCCTCACCCCGTCTACAGTGGGCGTGTCTGGGTGGGTTAGAGATTCGGGAATCTCCCACCACTTCTTTCTCCTGACGCCCTCTTCAGTCGCTCTCTCTCTCCCCTATCTCCTCCGCCCTCGAGATGGGAGACTGGGCCACCACCCCATTCTTGGGGGTTTTCTCTTCCCCTCACAGGACCCGCTCCGCCAGTCAGGAAGGTAAGCTTTATCCACAACTCAATACAAGGTGAGTGGGAGACATTTAAGGGCCCGGGTGAAGCCGGTCAGCCTCATTGACAGAAACATCCCTTTTGGCCTGAATCGTTACGAGGGCAGCAGCTCTGTGGCTCCCAGAGACACGAGGAGCAGAGATGGGGGAGGAGGAAGCGCTCACCGTGCAGTCAATTTCCTGCCCGGCCCCAGTGCTTTCCCTGAGCTCTCTCTCAACCACCTGGACGCTCTGATCAGGAGATCCTGTCAGCAGCGTCTGGGGCTAGTCCTAGCTGGAGAACTTCCCCACCTTGGCTGGGCTCAGAAGGAGTTTTAATGAAGGTCTCTCCCCAGCACAGACCCAGCTGTTTCTCTGCAGGCAGCATCAGGAATAAATCAATGGGAACACGGGGCTTCCGTCTGAAAAATGATGGATACAAGCAAGCGTGTTCTTATCTAAAACTACTATTTATTAGATATTAAGCGCACACACACACACACACACACACACACACACGGTTTAGGACAACCCAGATATAATTAACCACAGTCTGAGATGGTTTCGAGTGATCACCAGCCGGGTTTCCAGAGGCCCATGGTTTCGAGTGATCACCAGCCGGGTTTCCAGAGGCCCTTGTTCCATCCAGCTGATGGGGAGTTTAGATGCAAGCTCCTTACCCTAAGAAAAGCTCCCTCGGACTGCTCCAAGGTGTTTACTTTCACCTAATCTTTTATAGCAAACTCTAACAAAGCACATAACCCACAGGAACTCCTCCCCTGGGTCACCAATTCTCCTCATTTCAACAAACTGCTCAATATCTCAAAACACTTCTAGTATTTCTAGCCAGAACAACAATACGTCTGGGGCACTTCAAACCCAGGTCGCTGTTCACTTCCATAACTTTCTGTCCCATCCTCCCATTCTGGTTAACCAACTGCAAGCCTGCCGCTGTCTGTCCTTGTCTCATACAGGCCTAAGATCATTCCTACGTCAGTGGTATTGGGGTTTCAGATGGCAGTGGGGGGAGGGATAGCTCAGTGGTTTGAGCATTGGTCTGCTAAACCCAGGGTTGTGAGTTCAATCCTTGAGGGGGCCTGTCATAACTATAAAGGGAAGGGTAACAGCTGTCCTGTGTACAGTACTATAAAATCCCTCCTGGCCAGAGACTCCAAAATCCTTTTCCCTGTAAAGGGTTAAGAAGCTCAGGTAACCTGGCTGA